CAACGCTTGCTGCGCTACAGCTTGTGCATAAGGTAATACAAAAATATAATAATACATGTTCTAGAATGAATGCAAAAAGAATCATATACATTTATGATTATATGCATTTTATATAATTCAGAAATGTCAAATCGATGGATTGGAAAAAAATCTTAATTGTTATAACAAATAAGAATAGAATTTATGATCAAAATCAATATAATATATTTACTATTAAATGGCTTTATGATTTAATGTCTATTTTTCTTTTGCATTAAAAAATCATTACATAAAATATTGTTTAAATAAAGTAGATCCAAAAATATCAAACAAAATTTTCAAGTGATTTTAAACTTACAGTATATATTTATGTCACTGGTGTCTTTAATTTGTATAATCAGAGGCTAACACATTCAATTAGCCTTATATGAATTTTAGCATTTGGTGTTCTTGTCAAAACATGTTTGCATATTATGGATATAGAAGCGTAATCATAAAACTGTAAATGTAAATGTTGTATGTATCTTGGGAACAGCTATAAAGCTACAATAAAAAGAATTAAAGCGGAACATTAACACAAAGTAAACGCCATGCATTAATAGATACTGAATGTTATAAAATAAATAATCTTAGTAACTGTAGTAACATAAGTAACCATAGTAACTGTAATAACATAAATAACCATAGTAACTGTAGCAACATTAGTAACTATAGTAACCGTAGAAACTGAACTAACCATAGTAACTGTTGTAACATAACTAACCATAGTAACTGTAGTAACATAATTAACCATCGTAATTGTAGTAATATAGCTAACCATAGTAACTGTTTTCACATAACTAACCATAGTAAATGTTGTAAAATAAGTAACCATAGTAACTGATGTAACATAACTAACCATAGTAACTGTAGTAACATCACTAACCTTAGTAACTGTAGTAACATAAGTAGAAATAGTAACTATTGTAACATAAGTAACTGAAGTAAGTGTAGTAACATATGTAATCATAGTAACTGTTGTAACATAGCTCCCACATTTTCATTTTTAAAAATTTGTTGCTGTATTAACATAGTTAGAAATGGTCATATTGGCTTTCAAATTTGAGTAGCTGTTATGTCTTTCCTGTTTTATGACAGCTTTACTTTCTTCTCAGTTTAGGTTGGCCATCTAGAAATAAAATAAGTGTATCAGTTGAGTATGTTTGGCATAATAGAAAAAATGGAGGTTGTTCTATATGTTTAGATTTGAAATTGTCTTACAAAATTAAAAAAAAATGTGGTGAATTTTATCGTTAAATTTGTGGAATTTCAGCAATCAAATATGTCTGATGCTGAAAATAAAAGAGTTCTTAAAATATTTTTTAAAAATATTATGAACACTTCATGTGAACCTATATTCTAATAAAACTTTTTTTTTACAAAATATAAATAACTTCTAATGCAAGTCATTTAATATAGCTAATGTATAAAAGGTAATCTATGCAGTATTGTTTTATTTTCCACTTCAAAACCCCGACAACTTAAACATCACATTTCGGCAATAATAATCATAATATATAACACATAAAGAGTGAACTTACTCTTCTATCTAAACCAAGTTCCTGCGAAATTAAGTTGCATTCTGTCTTGAAACTCTCTCGGCGGCTTAACAGATGCGTCATTCTGAGAAGGTTTTAATTATTCAATAAATTTACTTAAGTTACTTTACAGTAATCACATCACTAATATTCTATATTTAGTTTCATGGCAAAAACCTTATCGGTTACTTCATTTTAAAAATCACAAACTTATAAAAAAAGCTTTACAGCTAGTCACTAGACACTAAAAAACTTTCATTTTTTTTTTTTTTTGCTCTTAAGAGTCGGATCTCCTAGGATAACACCAACAAAGAAGTTTAACAGTAATTGCAATCATGTTCACATCTCCTCTTCTTTGGTATCTAGATTCAAATTATTTTGTTAAAGTCACGGTGATTTCCTTCATCCATGTCTTCACTTAAGTCGCCAATGTTATCTAACAGTAATTTAAGTACCGTCTTCTCGACAGGAACGTCTTCACCAGATAAATAAAGACCATGCCATTGAATTGATTACAGGTATATTCATTGGTGTTTTTTTTTTCGTCAGAATCATTCATAAGTTCTTTGAAATATTCTGCTGCATCGCAAAGTTCTGCATCTATTATCATCAAGGTAAAGTCAATTAACTTACATTGTCAATATTTAAAGAATTTCCTGCTTGTTTTACTAGGCCTAGTTTTATCAACATTGATAGCAGTAAGATTCTTTATCGTTCCCCATAGCTTCTATTTTTTTTTACAATTGCTTCTCCAACCTCAAAATATTTCATTGGAGGCCAAGATTTCATTTTAGAATCCTAAATATTTTAATTTGAGTTTAGAAATGAAATGGGATCATTTGATTTCCTTTGAAATAAATCCTCCTTTGTTCAAGTAAGAAGTACTTTCTTTCAGATTTTAGCTTTGAAGTAATCAAGTTCAACTTGGAAAGATTTAAATTCACGATCCGATCAGTTATTCTTGAAAAACTGTTCTGTTTGAAGCAATTTGGAAATCCCTATCATCTCAACCAATTTCTTTACATTAGCGATGTCAGATGTGCAAGACTCATCCTATGAGACCTGGTGAAGTTCACAAAAATATAGAACGGGTAAAAAAAAAACCAACCATTTCTTGTACAGGTTTCCTCAGTGTTGCGAGTTTTCAACTCAATGGAATCCTACGACATCAACACTAGTAACATAGAAGCTGGTGTTTTGTTTCTTTGTTCTGATTCATAATTTTTGTTTCGCTATAAGTTTTGATATAAATTTGATTTAATGAAATAATGTTACAAATTTATTACAAATGACTGTTTCTTTGTCTTTGTCTGCTTCCAGTTGTGTTGCAGGTCACGTACACAGTTTTTCTATTAATATAATATATATGCCAATCGGTCGAGCTAATTCGATTCACATCACATCCTCTTAATATCTCGATTAAATTCATTACTAGATTCGGTCCATCCTCTTTTTTAATCCTTCATTATCCTTTTCATTCTTTTAGAGATATTATGGAACTATTTGATTTTTCATATCACATAGAAATATTTACTTTCCGTATCGTAAAAATGTATTTGATTTATGTATCGTATAGATATATACATTAAAGAAATGTATGTTGTGTGATTTCATTCTGTCTTGTTTTCCAATTCAGTAAAATCCTCCGTGACAAATTGTGTAGGAGAGGTGTGAGGAGGGGTTGTTACTTATTATCTATATAGTAAAGGGGGGGGCATATTAGGCCAATGGATGGTTATTTCGTAGGATTGGGGACAGGGGGGCCAAATATTGACTTACATTGGATGAAATTAACCCCATGCTACCACTTTACACATAAGACATTCTTAAATCTTACCAAAATAATATTTTTTTTTTTTAAATTCAACAAATTTACAGCTTTGACAAAAATGTATAATACTATTGCAATTCGTGATTCTCTATTTTCTCTACAAACATATTTATTATTATATATTTTTTTCTAAATTTATATTATTATATTATCTGTTTAAAAATATATTTTCAAATTTTGATCACTGAGAAAAAAAAATTTGAGTTTAAATGAAATTTTCTAATAAACGTTTTGAAACTTTTAGAAAGAAAAAAATAGAATTTACTCTTCTTCGAATGAAATTAAACACGTTTTCCACTTGTTTCTTGGCGTTATAGGGTTGTAGTACATCGATGATTCCTATATAGAGTAACACGGTTCTAGGAGTTGCCTGACCTTTAACACCCTGTTGTCTATGTCTGGATAGGGATATAATGTTACAGTTGAAATAACAAGGAGACAGAATTATAATATCCCAATTTTTAAAAAAAAAGAGTGGGGGGGGGGGGGGGGAATGGGGGGGGGTAAATTTTTAATTATTAAATTGTGTAAATCATTATAAAATTCTTGGTTAATTTTATCATTATAATAGCGATGTCTTAAAATAACATTGGCAATTGAGAAATGTACTTGTAATCTTGTAATAGACATGGGTGTGTGCCAAAAAGGGATGTCTCAAATAATACAAGAAATCTTATCTATGAATCAACCAACACGCACGTTGCAAAGTATTTTAATTTTCTTAATTACAATTAGTTTTTGCTTTCTACGACTAATCATATCCCTAACCCTATTACTAACACTTACCTTGCGACAAGCCGACAACTTAACCAAGCTTAAACTCTATGATTACCCTTATTTTATGGCTAGGACTACTACGACAAACCAAACCACTAAAGATAATGCTTTAGCTAAGACTAGCCTAAACCTTATCCCTAAGACTAAAACTACAATTAAAAGTTACCCTAAGACTAAACGTTACTCTAAACCTTACCATACAGCTAACCCTAAACCCAACCCTAAAACCAACCCTAAACCTACGACTAACCCTAGCAGTCCAAGTGACTGACGAATTCTTGTATGACCACGTATACTATTTGCATCAACTCGCATTGCATCGCCAATTGCATTCACTGCTACGTCATGTGCGCCAAGAAACAAACTGTAATTTGTTAATCCCAGTTGTCGCAAAAGCTGAAAACATTACAATATAATATAGATAACATAATTTTGGGAGAGAGCAAGTATGTTACGCCATTATAGTTAGTGATGGGAATTATTGTTCTTTAAAGAAAGTTTCAAATTTACCTAAAGGTAGTAACTCAATTTATGTAACTAATTTAGATTTTAATAAGTCCGATTCTAACTTACTTCAATTCCAAATAAAATGTCCTTATGTGAGTAATGCATTATTGGTAATCATAAAATTGACTGAAAGTCATTTCAGCGCCAGAATGGACCTTACGATAAGTACAGATTTACGATCATGGAAAAATAAATCTGAAGTAGAGCTGAAAAATCGACAAATTAATGCTTCCTTCCCCGAGAGACCAGGCTTTGACTCATCTGGTTAAATGTTAGCGTTCATCATAATGCAGCTTAAATTACATACTGATTTATCTATTATATTGAATTTAAACTACCGTGCTATCATTATTCAATAGTGTCAGCAAATCTTCAGCATATTGCTGGTCCAGTTTAAGTCCCTGCGGATATCTTTCAGCAAAGTCTCTGTCCTTACAAACTCTATTACTTCGTCTTCTATTCGTAGTTCCTTTCAAGTCGTATCTTGTGTCAATGTAGATATTGGTTGGGAGTAAGTTGTTCATGACCACGAATCGAATCGTTTTGCCACCAGCCTAGAATACAGACAGCACGAATTTATTTAGATATGTGAAAAGCGATTTTAAAAAACAATCTATGGTCTTATTGCATTTATGTTAGACATTACGACTTCATTGTCATAGATGTCTCAAATTAAAGTATACACGTACAAGAAAAAAAAATATGGAAATTCTATATAAAAATTGCTTGGGAAAGGTTATAGCTATAAATTTCAAAGAATTAATGTATAAGTTTAGTAGCTACATCTTTTTTAGAAGTTTGACAAGATCAACTAAAGAATTACCTTGTAACTGTAGAGTCCACAAAATATTGGCAGAAGTGTTCTATTGTTTATCGAAACATGCTTAAAATGAAAATGTTAAATGATTCAAAGATTGATATAGGAATATTTGGATATAAAAAAACGACCCATAGATGAACGGACATATGGAAGTATTGATGGACGGTAAGTGAATGGATGGATAAGTGGATGAATAGATCGATCAAATAATTAATGGATAAATAGATGATTGAAATAATAAATGAATGAGCGAATTAATGAAATAATATATTTATGAATAAATCTATAAAAGGAAAATTGTAAGGTAAAATCAATTGATGGAAAGATTCAGAGCTTGAATCCTGGAGCAAAATTGTAGGTTCTAATATATATATATAGGTAGCTATTGATGCCAAGGGATGAACATATAGAACTTCCGCCAACCGCCTGTTTAAATTAATAATCTCACTTTGTTGTTGAGATGTGTTTAATGCTTAGCTTATTGTGGTGTGCTTATTCAGTAGTTGAAATCATTTTCAATTATTTAATTTGTAATCATTGTCTAGTAATATAATGGTTTAATGTGAATTTTCTAATGAGTGGTATTATGCGGTGATAAATTAGTAGGTATTAATTTATTTGTAGTTTGTATTTGCAGTTTATATAATTGGAAATGTGGTGTAGTCGTGATCATCTGTTTACATCGATGGCTGTGAAAGATGTTGCGAATGTATGACGCTTTTTCGGCTCTTCAGTACGCAAATTATTCGTTGATTAAGTAGAAAAACTCGCATTGAATCTTACTCCATTGATTTATTAAAAAAGAAACTCAATTTTTAAGTATTTCCTTTAGAGTATTTGCTATTACGCAAAAAAAAATATTTTTTTAATCTTTCCGATTAACTTTGCTTTTTTTGTGTGTTTCTGTCTGGCTGGGAAACTTTCGCGCTGAAACTTGACACATGGACTCTTTGCATAAAACAAGAAACCATGTCAAATTTTCAGCCCTACCCCCAACCCTTAAAATAGGTGAATTTTGTAGTATACATGAATTAAAGGATTCTATTAGACTTTTTTATTGAGAGAAGGAACTTTTGAGGATAATCATTTGGCACAACTTATATGCAACCCCATACTGTGACCTTGATAATCGTTAGGGGAGGGGTGTAAAAATCGACGGTGCTGAAGATAGTCGAACAAATTCAAAATGAGGCATGCATTTGCCGCTGAATTGAATTTGGTGTTTCTTTCAGACAAGTTCGAAATGGCATTTCAAATTGTCAGGTGGTTAAACACCAAAGTTAACAATAACATGTTCAAAGAAATTCTAACCCCGCACCAGCAGGATAAGAACTTAATTCATTTCAGTTGTTTCACACTGGAGGGTATGCTTTTACCTTAGCTTATTCTCGCCCCTTAAATCTTTATGGCCTATAGAAAATTATGGATAAATTCAAAAACACATGTAAGCATTTTAGCACATACCCAAATCTAGTTTTGCGATACTCTACATCTAATTGGAAAGGAACAGAAGTAATGCTAGTTAAAAAATATGAGGTGTCACTTAACTTTAGAACCATCGATTGATCCCAGTAACACGGACGACTGAAGGGTGCCTCTGATATTTTAGGGGCTTAAAGATGTAATGAGGGCATTATCTTAATTATTATATTTCATTGTAAGATGAGGGATGACAAAGGCGAAAAGTGGCAGTGGGCCTCGAAAAGTAGAGTAACGGGTCGGCTTGACCTTCTTGTGTTATGCTATTTTGTTTTATTTTACTAAATAGAAATCTAGCTTTTATTTTATTTCTTTTTAATATGTCACATATTTGAATATATTATAAGTAATAGGAGGGGGGGGGGGGTTATTACTTATGTAATGTGCAGAGTATTGGGGTTTAAAGAAAACTGGCCAATCAGAGAAGAGCAAGGATAAAAACAAAAACAAAGCCGGTAGTTGAATAATATGACAGTTGATTCACGAAGTGTACGCTAAAAGCTTGAACAGTATATAGTGTGCTGATATGTTATGAAGTTTAGAAGTAAAAAAGATTAACCACTGGTGATTAAAGTATTGAGATTAATATCATATAAGTTCCAAGTATTTTCGGATTTTCATGGCATGTATTTGGTATTGTAATTGCGTATAATAAATTAGTCACAATTATTAAACCACTTCGCCCCCGATATTATTAACAAGACATTGGGACAAAAACTATTTTGCGTGTGTTTCATACCAAATAACTATTAATAAATAAACATTCACCACAAAATTGTCCGTCCCAAAAAGCACGTCGTCCTACGTCATTTTACGTGTTGAACGACAATCAAACATCCACTTACTGGTAATAATTAACTTTTCTAATAAATATCTACACGTTTTACCACTGTAAAAATGAAAATAACCGGTTATGTATAAAGATCTATACATTTATCTATACATTTTTTTACGGTTTTATATATTGTTTAAGAATGGCATACTTAATTTAAGAAGACCAGACTTGTCTACAAAGACATTGTATATATATATATAAATATATATATATATATATACATATATAAATTATATATAATATATATATATAATATATATATATATATAATATATATATATGTAATCTCGGAATAACCTTATATATAAAGATCTATACATTTATCTATACATTTTTTTACGGTTTTATATATTGTTTAAGAATGGCATATTTAATATAAGAAGACCAGACTTGTCTAAAAAGACATTGTATATATATATATAAATATATATATATATATATACATATATAAATTATATATAATATATATATATAATATATATATATATATAATATATATATATGTAATCTTGGAATAACCATTTCACTCCTGCAAAGTCTGGACAGCGACGAGGCCATGACAGGCGATTCCGGCTCAAACAAGCAAGAAGCCAATATAGTAACTGCTCATTCCTGCCCAAGACAATCGAGACTGGAACAAGCTTTCAAATGGAACATATGAGGCGACAACACTAGACACATTTGCGTTTTTTGCCTCAAGCCTTCCAACCCCCAATGCATGATTCCCTCGCAAAGTAGTACTTGCAATCAGTGAAATACCCTCATCATCACCAGGCACAGAAACATTGCAAATCCCTTCTACATGCATAGCAGCCAAAATGAACAATAAATTGATCGTGGGCCTAAATATATAGAAGAAGCAGATAAATATATATTATATAAATATATATATATTAATGTGTTATTTTATATGCTGGAAATCGTTTAAATTTAAAGTTAAATTTTTAAATTTAAAACTACTATAAATTTCTTATGATAAATTAGAAAAAGGCTCTTCGATATACTTTAATACATGTGTTTTTTCAAAAATCATATAATTTATTTTAAATTGAAGATTGAGGAATAATAATTTTTTTCTAAATTTAGTACCAAAATAATGGGAAATTTGAGTGATCATCGAAATACAATTTCACAAAACAAATTTTTTGAAAAGCGTTTTACTAGATTCCCATCAAGAAAAAAAAGTTAAATTTAAAAAAAATATCCTGAATATGTTTGGCGCAGTTTGTTTATTATTCTGATATTTAAAAAAAACAACAACATAAAAATGAAGATTTTCATAAAAATATTTTATAAAATGTCATATCGGAGAATGGGGCTAAAAATGTTCCAAAACATTATTATTGTTAGCGGTTGTCTTATATTGCACGGGACCCAAGACTAGGTCTGGGCTCACCATGATGTACATAAAATATTTAGAAAACATAAGCAAGACAATAAAAAAAAACATATATTTATTTAATAAAAAAACAAATGTAAAATAAGAAAAAAAAATGTATATACACCCCACCAACACCAGAACTTTTACATTTCAAATGATGGACGGCAACCCGCAGCATCGTTTATCGGTCAGGGCGGAATCAGTCGGGGTAGTATAGTTTAAAAAGATATGTTTTGAGTGGAGCTTTGAAGATCTTGGAGGTCGGTATATTGCTGATGTGTAGTGGGAGAATACCCCATTGGTTTGGGGCACAGAGAAAGATAGTTCACCATATGTTTAACTGCGTGTCTTGGTAACGGACAAAATACGCGAGTATAAGGAGGACCGAAGCCGTCAAAGGATGAAGGAAAGAAGTTTGTTAGATAGGAAGGGCAGGAATTCGAGAAAATGTTGTATATTGAACATTTTTTATATAGCTCTTGTATCCATGCTACTTTAGCATCCTCACAGCGACAGAGAACTGATGGCTTGCATTCCATGCGTGCCTCTCTAGGGAGCCAATAAAGTGAGTGGAGTGAAGTGATCACTTTTTCTTTTCCTTAGAGCTAGCCTAGCAACTGAATTTTAAAACTCTTGTAATTTTTCTAAGAATTGTTTTAGTGGAAATGACAGAAGCGAATTGCAATAGTCAAGACAATAAGGCACGACAGCATAGAGTAGGATTTTTTTGGGGCTATCTGTGATGTAGTTGCGGATGGAGCTGATTTGACGGATAGGGGTGTATGCAGACCGACAAATGTGAGAGATATGATTATCAAGAGATATGTTGTTGGACAGAATATAACCAAGATTACTAGCAGACGTTGTAAACTGTATGTCTGAGTTGTCTACTTGAAATGAGGTGGGGAGAGCTGAGTTAGAGGATGATGTGTTATTGTGAATTAGGAGTGCTTTCGTTTTGTCATCATTAAACTTCACCTTGCAGAGTGTCATCCAAGACTTGACATCATCAATACACTCCCGCAAAGTCTGGACAGCAGAATCGACAAGAGAGGAATGGGAATGCTTGTATAGCTGCGTGTCATTTGAGAATGACTGGCTCTCAGCAGCATGCCTCCCAAGCAAGAGGAGCAGTTGCCTGGCATACATTCTGAATAGAACCGGACCCAATACGGACCCCTTTGGCACTCCGAACACAAAATCAGCACAGCCATCGACCATGACCGCCTGCGTTCTATCAGAGAGGTAGGATCTAAACCAAGCCAAAACTGAACCAGAAATTCCAAAGTAATTTTCAAGGTTTTTGTTTAACAGTGTCAAACACCGCACCGAGATCTAAGAGGATTAGGATGAAAACATTATTGTTGT